TACAATATTAACAACCTCTTATATCCTAACAATATACGGTTTAACATCCCCCCTCAATCTGGACTTCCTACACGAAGGTTCAGATTGTATCTGTTTGAGACAAAAGGTGTCTCAGCTAATGGCTTGGTGAAGATGTCCGCAACCTGTTCTTTGGAAGAGATGAACCTAACATCCAATGCTTTGGCTGCAACTCGTTCGCGAACAAAATGAAAATCCACCTCGATGTGTTTTGTTCTGGCGTGGAATACTGGGTTAGCGGACAAGTAAGTGGCGCCCAAATTATCACACCACAAGATTGGAGGCCGTGGCATAAAAACTCCAAGCTCTCCAAGAACTGACTGAACCCAGATTATCTCAGCTGTACCATTTGCAATGGCCTTGTACTCAGACTCCGTACTGGACCGCGAGACAGTGGCCTGCTTTCTAGAGCTCCACGATACAAGATTGGGACCAAGAAAGACAGCAAACCCTCCCGTAGACCTACAATCATCACTGCACCCAGCCCAGTCTGCGTCAGAAAAGCAACTCAACACCATGGATGGAGACTTGCGTATGGAAAGACTCATGCCACGGGTGTACTTTAAGTACCGCAAGATCCGTTTAGCAGCTGAAAAATGTACAGTCGTTGGTGCATGGAGGAACTGACAGACACGATTCACAGCAAAGGAAATATCTGGTCGAGTCAGTGTTAGGTACTGGAGAGCGCCAACCAGACTGTGGTATTGAGTGATGTCATCCTGAGAGAGAGGTACCCCACAATCCTTATTGATCTTTTCACTGGAGGACATGGGAGTAGTGGAAACCTTGCACTTTTCCATGTTGGCACGATGAAGAATGTCGCCAATGTATTTCTGTTGTGAGAGCATAATCCCCTGTGGCGACGATCTCACCTCAACACCAAGAAAAAAGTGCAAAGGACCAAGATCCTTGAGAGAAAAAGTGGCATGAAGATCAGCAAGCAACCTGGTCGTGGCAGTAGGCGAGGAGCTGGCCACAATAATGTCATCAACATAGACAAGCATGAACATGGTGACACTGCCATGATGAAAGATAAACAGAGAAGTGTCTGCTTTAGATGCCACAAAGCCAAGCTGAAGCAGTCGAGAGCTGAGCCGAGAGTACCAGGCTCGGGGTGCCTGTTTGAGTCCATACATAGCTTTCTGCAGCTTACACAGAGCCCGAGGAGCAGTGGGATCCACAAATCCTGGAGGTTGCCGCATATACACCTGTTCTTGGAGAACTCCATGAAGGAAAGCATTCTGAACATCCAAATGACACAGACTCCAGCCACGAGAAACCGCAATGGAAAGGACCAAGCGAACAGTGACTGGTTTGACAACGGGGCTGAACGTATCATCATAGTCAAGACCATAGCGCTGTTTAAACCCTTTGGCAACGAGACGTGCCTTGTGACGATCAATGGTGCCATCAGCCTTGTACTTGATTTTGAAAACCCATTTGCAGTCAATGACATTAACATGGGGTGGCAGTGGAACTAAAGTCCACGTGCCATTGTGACGAAGCGCATCAAGCTCAGACTGCATAGCGGCACACCAAGCAGGACATGCCATGGCTTCACGATGATCACGAGGTTCCCGATAGACCAGAAAGGCACGTCTTGATGGATCATAATTAATGGTGCCGTCCGTACGTTGCACAGCCTTGCGAGTATGATCGCGTGTGCGTGTCACCATCGTATGCGCAGGTGGTACAGTAGCCCTGGGCACAGAGGATCCGGAGGCAGGAGCTGCGGAGGGGACATGATCCACCTGGGATCGCGTGTCACCAGGGGACACGGCAGGCGGGATCGGACCCCCCTGGGATCCCGTGTTGCCAGCGGGTGCAGGAGAATCCTGCGGCGATCCCGAGGAGAGACCAAGCGACTCGTGCGCGCCTGAGGCGGGACAGGGCCAGCCCACCGGCTGGCGAGCGGGCACGTGGGCGCCTGTCTGCGGTGGGTTGGAGGCGACAGGGGGCGGGCCCGTGCCAGGCCCCACCACTGAGGGGGGCGGGTCGGGCGATGGAGCGACCAAGCCGCCAGAAGGCGCCACATGGGCCAACGACACCCCGCGACCGCCTGGCGGACTGCTGTCCGGGAGTGGCGCGTGAACCGAGGCCGGATCCACTCCAGATTCCATGCCCAGATCTTCCTCGGACGCGGGATTGCCCGCTGCACCTGGGATCATCTGCGCCAAAGGGGATCCTGCATCCAAATTAGTAGACACAGCAGGTATACCATAGTTCATGTGGTCATGCGGAAATAAAAGTATGGCATGTTCGGCAACGCGAGGTGGTATGGGAGAGGTAGAAGGGGTGGCAAAAGGAAAAATTGTTTCATCAAACGTGGCATCCCTAGAGATATAGACACGAGCCGTGGGTAGATGAAGGCATTTATATCCTTTGTGGCGAATGCTATAGCCAACAAACACACACTGTTGGGATCGAAAAGCAAGTTTGTGCGTGTTGTAGGGACGCATGTTGGGCCAACAAGCACAACCAAACGTACGAAGAGCTGTGTAGTCTGGTTTGGTTTGGAAGAGTTTCTCCATAGGACTAAGGTTGCCAATGACACGACTAGGGAGTCTATTGATGAGGTAGCAAGCCGAGAGGTAGGCCTCATCCCAAAAACGAAGTGGCATGGATGCATGTGATAGTAAAGAAAGTCCCATGTCAACAATATGACGATGCTTCCTTTCGGCAACCATTTTGCTGGAATTCACGAAAAACTTCAAACACATCACATTTTCTCTTGAGAAGGTAAATCCACACAAATTTACTATAATCATCGATAAATGAAACATAGTACTGGAACCCACCAGAAGAAGTTTTGGCAGGTCCCCACACATCCGAAAAAATAAGTTCTAATGGAGAAGAAGAAACACTTGATGATCTGGGAAAGGGAAGCTGGTGTGCTTTGCCTTGTTGACAAGCGTGACACACATGGGTCATAGACCGACTAGAGGAAGCTAGTTTATTGGATGATAAAACTTGCTGAACGACTTGAATGGATGGGTGGCCAAGCCTGGCGTGCCAATCTTCAGCTGACAACCGAACCGAAGACAGGGCATGATGGGATGACGGCCGAATGGGGTAGAGCCCATTCTCACATCTGCCTTGAAGTAGAACCCTCTTGGTGATCAAATCCTTCATGAGAAAGTGAGTAGGGTAATAGTTTAGATAAGCATTATTATCAACAGCAAGACGATTGACAGAGAGAAGGTTCTTGTCAGCATTGGGAACATGCAAAATATTGCGAAGTTTGAGATTGGCAGAGGGAGTAGGAAGAATTGCATGACCACGATGAGCTATGTGCAAACCTGAGCCGTCAGCAGTGTGGATGTGATCTCTTCCTGGGTACTTCTCCCGGATGGTGAGGCGATCCAGATCGCCGGTGATATGATCCGTGGCACCGGTGTCGGTGAACCAAGCAGGGTCACCTAAGATGGAAGGAGGAGAAGCAGCGGCAAGCCTGGCCATCTTGGACTGTTGTGGATGGAACGCATGATTATAGCGTTGGCCACACTCCCAGGCGTAATGCCCAGGACCGCGGCAGAGTTGGCACTGGACGCGGTGATCGCCGCGGTCGCCGTAGTCACCGCGGTCACCACCGCGGTTTCCTCCGAAGTCGCCTTGTTGGCGCGCGCCGCCGCCACTGCGGTTCCCGCGATCACCGCCGCGAGAATTGTTGTTGTAGTTGCCGCGATCACCGCCGCGAGAATTGTTGTTGTAGTTGCCGCGATCTCCGGAGTTACCGCGGCCCTTGCCACGGTAGTTGCCCCTGCCCCAATTGGAGTTGTTGGTGTTGCCGTTGGGGTCTCGGGCGACGTAGTTGGCGGAGGAGCCGCTATGTTGAAGATGAAGGCGAGAAGCATTGTACTCGCGGCGTCGTTCGAAGGAAATTGCATGAGAGTAAAACTCACCAAGAGACATACCCTCGGGACGGGTGGTGTAGGCGGTGATGAGGGGCTCGTAGTCGCTGTCGAGGCCGGTGATGACAGCGGTGATGATGTCCTCCTCACGCATGGGGCGGCCGACGGCTGCAAGCTGGTCAGCGTTGGCGCGGATCTTGGCAAAATAATCTGCCATGGACAAGGTGCCCTTCCTGAAGACCGCCATGTCCAGCTTGATCTGGACGATGCTGGTGCGGCAGTGGGCGGTGTACATCTCCTCGACATGAGACCAGATGGCCCGAGAGGTGTCCAGCTGATGCACTTGCTGCAGCACCTCGTCAGAGAGAGAGAGGCGAGGAGGTAGCTGAGGATGATTTGGTCCTGGCGAAACCAGGTTGCATACTCCGGGTTGGGAGCACACACCCCCTTGTCATCGGGGTCCAGAAGCTTGGCGGGGGCAGGAAGCGTGCCATCGACGTAGCCCGTGGCGCCAGCTATACGCAGAGGAGGAAGGATTTGAGCCTTCCAGAGAAGAAAATTGGAGGTGGTGAGTTTGGCGGTGATAAGGCTAGCGGAGGGAGGAGGAACGACAGAGGCCGGCGGGCCATTGAAGGCGGCAGGGAGGGAGAGCGTGGTTAGGGTAGCAGAAGAAGAGGCGGAAGCCTTGGGAGAGTCCATGATGAGATCAAGCGAGAAGGCCTGATACCATGTGAAACGAGAGAGATAGAGATTGGATCGGCGCACCAAACCTGATGGCCTCAGGATGTATTTATAGGGTGCAACTAGGGCACAAGATACAGTTGGTTACAGGAGATAGATACAATATTAACAACCTCCTATATCCTAATAATATACAGTTTAACAAAGCCTACCTAAAACATCTACGTAAACTTCCTAACTAACACTTCTCCCCCTGATTTTTAAGGGGGTGGGCTCCTTCCTCCCCAATCCTCCAATTCTAATCCACCAGCTGGCCGATTACGTTAAACATGTAACACAAATTTCGTAGGTGTAGCATTACTGCCCTACTACTTTCTGGCTTTTGGGTATGATTCAAGGCATACACAATCACATGATAATGACAAATTTTACGAGGACACCGGGTGTTTATTATTCCATTAGGTCCGTCCCTTTCTTCTCTGCCAGCTGCTTGAAAGTAAGAGGCATGGTAAACTGCGCCGGGTCATGGAAGAACGCCTCGGCGGCCATCTCAGCAGCCCGCTGGGTGGCGTGCATCCAGTCCCAGTACACGTAGCCATCACGGTCGCCGCAGAGGTTCGAGGTGGGCAGGCAACGGGCCTCCCCGCCGAGCCTCCCGCTCCCGCAGCACGCGCTGGTCGCGTTCGCGAAGCCTTGAGCCTGCGGGTCAGCGATGAGGGCTTGCCTGTGGGCAAAGCCGTCGGCGAGGGAGCAGGCGAGGCCCGGCAGCCTGGGCGCTAGGTCGGCGAGGAAGGACTCGAGGACGCCATTGAACCCGGCCGCTAGCTCGTTTGTGCCGTCGTTGCATGCGCCGGTCGCGTCGTGCGCGCGGACCATTGGGATACACCCGGACAGGCCAGCGTTGATGATGCCGATCTTCCTCGCGCCCATCATGTACAGATCCTGCATAGTATTAGAAAACAGAAATGGTTGGTGCCCACGATGAAGCATGTACTAGTACCTAACCTAGCAGCTGGCTGGTCTTGACATGATGTCGGCGACGAAACAACTTTGGTTGGCTTGTGTTTCCACGTGAGCTGGAGGAATAATGCGGGATGGATGGATGTTCAACGAGGTAAATAACTGTACTAGCAGATTGCTCATGCCCGCGCACGCTTAATTAAAGGTACCGTGATGGTGGCGGAGTAGTTGGAGATGAGGCTGCCGTAGAGCGCGGCGACGTCGCTCTGTGTGGTCGACTTGTTCTTGGCCTGCTGCGCCATGGCGAACTGTATCAGGTCGTTGCTGCCGATGCCGATGAGGAAGAAGGACTCTGCGAGCAGGTCGCTGACCACGGCGGAGCCCAGCTTGGCCTCCATCGCCGCTCTTGTCGAATGGAAGTATTGGACCTGCTTCGACAACGGGATGTTGTTTCCGGCGCCCTGCATCCGGCCAGAAGCACGGACCAAATTTTTGAGGAATTAAGCAAGGACCAATCACAATACATTGACAGTCTTCAAAAGGAGAACAGATCTCTCGATCTGGCTCGACTTCATACTAACTGGTTTGAAACTACTCCTCTAAGCAGTGGATTAATTAGTACTTACCGTCGAATCGAGAATCCCAGCTCCTGCAGAAGCATAGCTTACACCTCTGAGCAGAGCAGTGCCGATCAGACGACGATGAGCTTTCAGCGACAGATAAGCAGGAGGGCTCCCCTCGAACCCCAGATTCTTGGCTGCATCCATGAGTAACATTCACGAACAAATCATCATTTTCTACCAACTAATGATATCACTTTCTACCAACAATTGATATGATGGATCGATTGACTGACGTACCAATGAAGTCGGCCACATTGTAGCCATTGCTGAACCTTCCGGTGGGCCTTGGCCCTCCGGGTCCAGGGAAGTCGACGCCATGGAAGGGCTTGTTGGCCCTTGGGACACTGTTCCCCGGCAGGTAGTTGTTGTTGCCCACGTCCAGTGACGAATCCCCGAGCACGTAGATCGCCGGCACAGCTCTCGCCGTCTTGCCAGGCCCGAACCCGGCAAGAGCACTGAGCACCATGACAAGGCCAGCAACAACGCCCTTCATTGTATCAATCTAGTCAAGAGTTATTACTCAGCTGAGGATCCAATACAGAGCTCATCAAGAACAAGTACAGGAAGAAAGGAGGAAGAAGAGGGACAGCACGCATTTCCCCTGCACAGCAGCTCTTTAAACTCACGCACGCACGCACACTTACAGACGGGCCCCGCACAGCCCTGTCGTCGGGAAGTGATCCAACCGTTGCTGGCACATCGGACGGCTGGCTTCTGTGCGTGTGTGGACCGTCTGGCCCATGCTCATATGCTAATGCTATGCTTCAGCCTCCTCTGTCCTGCTCTGTTCAGCTAGGGCATGCTCTGCTTCGGCTCTCTTGGCTGTTGCTTCTCCCATTCACATTCATTTCATGGCCTGTCTCCATGCCTGCCTTGCGAATGTACATCTCGCTAGGGGCCATATTTAGCTATTTCATCAGTACTCAACACTGATTCCGATTAAGGTAATGTTAGTTGGTCAGCCCAACGTGGTTGTTCGGATATTAAATCTTACCGTTGAGTTTGTAGAAAACAAGTTTTTACCTGATTTTTAGTTAAACCAGTTTCTTTACTGAAAGGATTGTTAATAGTCAGGTTTATAGAGCGTTACGTTTGGGTTGGGAACTGTGTTTGTTCAGTTCCATCTTTGGATAAAAAAATAATTCAAAAACGAGATTCAACCCCGGATTCTACTTATAATGCATGCAACCAGTCTTATTAATTATAAAGCGGAGTACAGAACAAGGCCAATCACGGCTGAACCCTTATAAGATGGGTGCATCCGTTGAATATGGGTCGTTAAATCAAAGGGATTGGATGGTGCAAATCCATTTTACTACCCCCGATTTTGTGTAGTATTTCTTAGCCCGAGGGGCCAATTGGACATTACACAGTTTCAAATCGGCGTGCGGGTTCCCTCCAACGAGCAAAATGGGATCTGAAAAAAATCTGTTTGAGTCAACGTTCTCGTCTGCCCGCTCTAGTCCTCTCTTTTTACATGAAGCGCTAGGGTTTGAGCCCTCGTCGGCTGAATCGAGACCTGCACCTGCCCCTCTCACCATCTGCCACTCCCCCACACCCAATTCTCGCATGCGCATCTACCTCCCCGGAGACAGAGGCGGCGGTAGGAGTCGTTCTCAATGCTAGCGGACTCCTATGGGATGGGGATGAAGCCGGCCTGTTCGGGGGATGAGTGTCGGCTGGGGACATGGCGAAGAGGAGACGTGCATGGTTCCGAGTGCCATCGGGGCTTGTACGAGAAGGAATGGAGTCCCAAGGCAAAATGATGGTGAGCTCCCGTTCTTTGGCCTCATCCATCCCACATACAAAATCCAAGTAATTCAATGACTGTTAATCCTGTGGAATTATTTTAGGAAATGATTTGACTACTAATACAATTATAGATCATATTTAAGCTTTGTCATTTCAATTTGGCTGATACGTGAGACTTGGTCCATTTTGGATTGGGGGCAAAGAAAGAGAGATAATAATCTATTATTTTCAGATTGTAGTACACACAAGTGATAGCCTTTCTTGATGAATATTTTTTATGGTCGCTTCTTCATGTGTAATTGGTGGATTGGAGTAATATATGAGACCTTATGTATGAGTGGTTGATGGACATGTACATGTGGTTTTTCTAATTGATAGATTCAGAGGACATATGCACTATTTGAGGATTCTCATAAATGCTTATTATGGTGATGTAGCTTTGAAACACTTAGTCCATCGAAGGGTGTTGTTGTTGAAGATTTTATCTGCAAGAACAAAGGATTGAGCATGAAAGGCTCGTCCACCAAAGGGATAAACTGTTGGATATCTATATACGATTTTACTTCTAAGAATTTGGTTACGTAGGCTATGGTAAAGTATCAATAATTTTTGTTGGTAAATTTTTATCAACTTTAGTTGTCGACTTGTAAATTATGACCATGATAGTTTTTCTTATGAATTTTGTCATTATAAATATTGATGATGGCTAAGACTGTTGCACTGGATTGTAGAAATATATGTTATGCGAATAGTTATGACAAGGTGAGAGCCTTCCGCACAAGTCATGTTGTAAGATATAATTTATCATGAACTCCAAGTTCTGGCATTATATATGCACTACAACATTAAAGTAGCAACTCCAATGTATGGGCGGTGAGACGACTTTGCATGGATGCACGGACAGTGGCGCAGGGCGGCGGCCTCCGAGGCGTTGTCAGGGATACGTCTCGGTCGATCCAGGCGGTCTCCCATCTCTGGCACCAGGTCATTCCAGGGCATGTCTGGACCAAATTGGTGGGAGTGCGAGAGCGGTAGTATTTCCAGCGCCATGACTAATCGACAACATCGAACATTGCCTCGTCCATCGCTCAGAGAAGGACATCCATTCTAATGGCCAACTCGCCATATTTTTCAATCATGCCCCGCTGCTCCTCCTCTTTAAGAGATATGATCGCGTACTCCGCCGTGTCCACCATATCCTTATAGGTGACATGCCATGAAGTGATCTCCTTCATCTTTGCCCACTTCGCAGAACCACCTGCCGAGTGCGCCTGAAACAACCTGTTCCATCCCCTACTGCCATCCATCTTCATAAAACCATACAAAGATGCCATTATTAATAAAAAACATAATGCGACATGTGACATATATAGCAGCATATATAAATGACTAACTAAATAGCTAGCAACTAATTCTAACCTAGAAGGCTCACCATCATCACATAAAGATCTCTTGTCTCTTTTTCAACATACCAAAATTCATCATACAAAATACATATATAACATATAGCAAACATCACATCACTTGACGCATATATGCAGCAAAAAATCATCACTACTCAAATCATATAATAGCTTCCACAAGCTCATATCATACGAAAATGGTCTACATTTCATATTTAATATCCTCGATCTTCTCACATACTACACAATTGCCAAACAACAACTAACTAATAACTTACTAATGAACGAAAATAAACATTTCACATTTTACCTAAAGAAAAACCCCAAAATGGTGAAGAAAAGCTCAAGTTGCTCGGTTGTTGCCAAAGGGGCAGACGAGCCGGTGGTGGAGGGTGTAGGTCGGGTGGAGGAGGTCATCCAAGGCCCAAGGGAAGACATCCAGATGGAATGCCATCGGGAGGAGTGATACATCTCCAACGTATCTATAATTTTTGATTGCTCCATGCTATGTTATCTACTGTTTTGGGCAATATTGGGCTTTATTATCCACTTTTATATTATTTTTGGGCCTAACCTATTAACCGGAGGCCCAGCCCAAAATTGATGTTTTTTGCCTATTTCAGTGTTTCGAAGAAAAGGAATATCAAACGAAGTCGAAATGGAACGAAATCAGCTGGAGAAGTTATTTTTGGAAGGAAAGCTACCGGATGGACTTGGACCCCACGTCAGGAGCCAAGGGAGGTGCTCACGAGGGTGGGGGGCGCCCCCCCTGCCTCGTGGGGCCCCCGAAGCTCCACCGACGTACTTCCTGCACCCATATATACTCACGTACCCTAAAACTTCCAGAACGCATAATAGATCGGGAGTTCCGCCGCCAGAAGCCTCCGTAGCCACCGAAAACCAATCTAGACCCGTTCCGGCACCCTGCCGGAGGGGGCAATCCTTCTCCGGTGGCCATCTTCATCATCCCGGCGCTTTCCATGACGAGGATGGAGTAGTTCTCCCTCGGGGCTGAGGGTATGTACCAGTAGCTATGTGTTTGATCTCTCTCTCTCTCTCTCGTGTTCTTGATTTGGCATGATCTTGATGTATCACGAGCTTTGCTATTATAGTTGGATCTTATGTTTCTCCTCCCCCTCTACTCTCTTGTAATGAATTGAGTTTCCCCTTTGGAGTTATCTTATCGGATTGAGTCTTTAAAGATTTGAGAACACTTGATGTATGTCTTGTCGTGCGTATCTGTGGTGACAATGGGATACCACGTGATTCACTTGATGTATGTTTTGGTGATCAACTTGTGGGTTCCGCCCATGAACCTATGCATAGGGGTTGGCACATGTTTTTGTCGTGATTCTCCGGTAGAACTTTGGGGCACTCTTTGAGGTCCTATGTGTTGGTTGAATAGATGAATCTGAGATTGTGTGACACATATCGTATAATCATACTCACGGATACTTGATGTGGCATTGGAGTATCTAGGTGACATTAGGGTTTTGGTTGATTTGTGTCTTAAGGTGTTATTCTAGTACGAACTCTAGGGCTGTTTGTGACACTTATAGGAATAGCCCAACGGATTGATTGGAAAGAATAACTTTGAGGTGGTTTCGTACCCTACCATAATCTCTTTGTTCGTTCTCCTCTATTAGTGACTTTGGAGTGACTCTTTGTTGCATGTTGAGGGATAGTTATTATTGTTGAGGGAACTTACACTAGCGAAAGTATGAACCCTGGGCCTTGTTTCAACACATTGCAATACCGTTTACGCTCACTTTTATCATTAGTTACCTTGCTGTTTTTATAATTTCAGATTACAAATACCTTTATCTACTATCCATATACCACTTGTATCACCCTCTCTTCGCCGAGCAAGTGCACCTATATAATTTACCATTGTATTGGGTGTGTTGGGGACACAAGAGACTCTTTGTTATTTGGTTGCAGGGTTGCTTGAGAGAAACCATCTTCATCCTACGCCTCCCACGGATTGATAAACCTTAGGTCATCCACTTGAGGGAAATTTGCTACTGTCCTACAAACCTCTGCACTTGGAGGCCCAACAGCGTCTACAATAAGAAGGTTGTGTAGTAGACATCAAGCTCTTTTCTGGCGCCGTTGCCGGGGAGGTGAGTGCTTGAAGGTATATCTTTAGATCTTGCAATCGAGTCTTTAGTTTCTTGTTTTATCACTAGTTTAGTTTATAAAAGAAA